GAAATAAAAGGAAATATTGGTTGTACACAGCACACAGTAACAAAAATCTGGTTTTTACTACCAGGAACAATGTGTTCTCTAAAAGGTCAACCCAGAAAATCCAAGTAACTTGAAGCATATGAAAATATTGACTGGAAACAAAAAAAAAAAAAAAAAAAAACAGCTGTCCTAGAAATTAACATTTAGGAGTCTTAAAAATTTTTCCTCTGAGCTATCTTCCTATCTTACCTACTATTGTAATGATTATTTACTCTTCTTCCAATAGTATGGAGTAATACAGCTGATGCACACAACTTGATGAAGAAGCATAACACCTTGTTCTGTTTGTTATGAACATGTAGGGGGAGCTGCCTATTTTTGCTACCTGTAACTACTGCATTTCAGATGCTTTCTTAATTTTACAGAGGAAATATATGCCTTGTAGAAAGAGAAATTAAAGATGAAAGCAAAGATTTAGACACTGTAAGATAGCTGCTTCCATTCAAAAGAACAATACTTGCACAAATGGCATTGTAACAAAGCAGTTTACACTGGATCTCAGTGCATGTTTCCAAAACATTCCGTTTTTCCCCTGAGCATAGGCCCACACAACATCCTAGTTACACAAGATTTTTAAATGATATAAATATTGATACTGGCTTTACATTTCACGAGGCAATCACATTTTAGATGCCTCTTTTGGTACACAAGAACAAGAGACTACACCAAAACAACATCGTTTGTGCTACAAAACCAAACATTCAAAAATAAGAGAAGATAGCTGAAGTTTTCCCAGGTAACACTATGATTTTGCTTCTTTATGCATCCATCCTATTCACTATATAAGGCAGCTGTTATTAAGGACGAGGAGGAGCAGCAAAAGGGGGAAAGAATCCACAAGAAATGAAACAGACAACCAGTAGAGAATCGTAACTCACACAGACAAAGAACAAAAGTTAGCTTGTAAAGTCAACCATAAAATTTATGATTTTCTAACTTTCCAGTGTTGTACCTGCAGTCTAAATAAAATACTTTCAGTATTTCTATAGGGAAGAAAAGAATAATTTATCTATTAGGCACAATTTTACCATCACATATCAGCAGTAGAGTATGAACCTTGGCACCACAGACATAATTTGCCACTGTTTACAGATAAATAAATAAGCTGGAGGCAGCAGGAGGCCAGCTTTCTGACCACCGTTTACCAAAGGGTACAAATACTGTCTGGATTCTAGCTTCCCCCACACACACAGTCACACAGTGCAACTCTTCTGACACTCAGCAGCTCTTCCCAGAAGCATGTGACTACTTGAGACTAAGCTCATGTCTGCCTCATGCATGCTTACTGTTTTTTCATTTTTTATTTTTATTTTAAAGAAAGGCACCAAAAATCTCCAGCTTAAAAAAAAAGCAGTGAAATCAAGCAAGCAGGCATTCACCTCCTGTTATCATCGTTTTAACACTTCTAAAATCTGACCCTACGTGATAGCCTGTGTGAGGCCATATCATTAGATTACAAATGATCTATAGAATGACACTATCTACATAACTTGTAAATGAAAAGCCTAGAGTACGACATCTGTGTAAGAAATTCTAATAACTGGAAAGGGTACAGTTCTGAAAATCATTCAAGGCAGTAGCTCAGAAACCTGATCTACAGATAGGTCGATAAAGAAATTTAAGAGCTACAAAAAGTTGTTTAGAAATAATGAGGTTATGTTGGTTTACACCTTTTAACAAATCTTGACTATCGAGACAGCTGTTTTGGAAAACAGCATTACTGCAAAAAGTGTCAATAAGATGCTCAATCTTTCGTACACATTCACCATCCAGATCAGGAAACAGAGTATCACTATGATCTTAACATTGGTGTATTTCTACAGCTGTCTTCCCTAAATAACCGACTATATACCAAGTAGACCTATTACTAGTATTGATATCAATCATTAAGAAATTAAATCAAAATAAATAACTCTACACAGGTGTCCCAGTTTTCTGAGATGTAGAGAACATGCTTATTTCAAACTCTTTAGGTCAAAGAGGGAGGAGAGAGAAAAATATATATATTTAAACTTGGAGCCTATATGTTTCTTCTCTAACTATTTAAAAGGCTTAATCGCTTTTACTCAAGGTCTCTGTCTGGAAAGGCAAATCAGGTTTCAGCTCTAAGTAAAAAAGTGATTTAAAGAACAGATTAGAGAAAAGGGATTATTTAAATGAAGATTGCTGTGAACTGATTTACATCATTCATTACGGTATATGGATGTGTGTTAAAAAAATGCACATTGCAGTTTTTCTAAAGAGAAAAGAGAAGTAAAGAAAATTTAACAATTGAGATTTGGGTCTGCAGTAAGACCACTTCTCCTTTTAACACACCCATTTCTGTTTTGTTTCTTATTGAGAGTTTAATTTTCTAGGACTACAAGCATTCATTTTGCAAAAAGTAATTAAGCAAGAATCTCACTGAGCCAAAGACAAGAAATTCACAATAAAGCTTAACTTTAAAATATTTTTTAAACTGTGCTTGTTTTTAAACTTCTGATATAGAATATAACATCCAGAAATTTTGTCAATTAATATAAGGATATATGTTAGTTTTCAGTAACATGAAATCGAGCATGTCCACAAGAAAGCTGAATTTCTCTGCAATCTTGGAAAAAAATCAGTTTTGATTAAAATAAAAAAAGGGCTTTATTTATGTGTTCCTGACATCTAATGACAATGTTAAAATTATAATTTCATTCTGATGATAGTATTCTTTTAGTATTAAGTATTATGCAAGTTATATATGAGAAGAATCGCCAGAACTAGAAATGTGCATTCTAATTCCCAACTGTCATTTAGTTCACGTTCTTTCTTATTTTGTCTTTCACAAAAAAACTCAAACCAGATTGTGCTAATTTAGTATATCGTTTTATATAAACTTGCCGTCTACCACAAACATGGGTACCTGTTTAAATAACAGCATTTGTTACCTGCTGTCACCTTAAGCTTTCCTTTAATATATCACTAAACAGAAAAAAAATCATAATTTTATCAGGCAAATCATGACAGAGAATAGTGCAATTAATCTGACGTTTGTAAATATCACACAGGACCTACAGGCTGTTTGTCAAAGTCAGTCAGCAATTAGTACATACATTAACAATAAGGGAGTGCACTCTCAAAATTTTTATTTATTCAGATGAATTTCACTAGCTTTCCCTGTCCACTACCTGAGACTTGGAGTCAGCTTTCAAATAAGCATGGTTTGTTTATATTATCATAAGAGCACTCACTGTCTCAGCATTCAGAGTCCTGTCACAGTATATATGATGAAACTGCACATAGAAATTGTGTGTTTTTTAGAAACTCAGAAGTACTGTTCTGTCAAATTCAAGGGGTAAACAAACACATGGATGTTCTAAATGCTGAAAATAAATCAAATATGGAGTGGTAAAAACAAACTTGTACTTAGCTCCCATGCATTTTTGCCTTTTTGGTTTTGCATTTTGATTGACACAAAATTTTGCATTTTTGAGCGCAGTGTAATTAAGTCTCAAACATTTAGCGAAGCGAAAGCTTTATTTTTCTACCCTAGAGCTTTCTTTCATTGCTTAAATCCCAGAAATGAGCTTGTTTCCACTGCTGAAATGCATTATAACTCAGCTCAAGTGAAAGAAATCTGAGAAGAGATGCTACTGTTCTAAGAAAGATATAGCTAGATTAGAAAACTGGAGTTCATTCTAAATTAGTAAGTTCTGAAATAAAGAGGTTTGAAAATCTTCATTTTTGCTCCCATTCTGTTATTACCTATGAAAACATCATTTAAAACAGCTTTCTGATCCAAGCACCACTTCACTAGCCTCATCAGATCTATAACAGTATGCCAGCTCCCTAATCAACACTGGTAAAATACAATAACATGATATTAAATGTGAAGGGCAACTTCAATTCTGATTTTTCTTTTTTGCACTTGCACTTACAATACTCTTGAAACATGTTTTATATTGGCAATTACAACAGCTCCTGCAAGAACTGCAGCAGATACACTAATATAAAGGCAGTGTAAACTAAACTAACCAAGTATACATCTGTAAGTAAACACACAATTAAGATTAAAGCTCTCTTGTCACATGCTCTAATTGCTTTTTGTTCAAAAAGAAATGTTCTACTTAAGCCATAAGACAGGTATTTGCATCACTACAGCATCACTGCATGGGAGGGCACACATTTTGGGGGTTCCATGACTAAGAATGTATTAGCCAACTGACTTTTCACCACTTACTTCCTTTTTTTTTAAAAAAAAAAAAAAAAAGTCTGCGAAGTACCAAATTCTCCCAAGCCTTGATAAACACCACTGCACTTGCAAAAGGAAAATGCAGATTTAGGAAGAGCCTCCTGAGAAGTTACTCAGCACCACAAGAGAATAACGACTAGTGCAGTTTTTCTGCACTACTTGCATAGATTTTAGGGTACAAGTTTATATTTAAGTTAGGCAAGACAAAACAAGATTCAAACCTGACCATACACAGATCTGATTTTCTTTTTGGATCCCTTACAGTCGGGAACAGAAGTTCCGATTCCCAATTTATGAATACAGTTAACCCCCACCTTGCCTGTATTTTGAAATGAAGGAGTGTGTGTATATATATGCGCGTGTGTGTGTGTGTGTGTGTATACATGTATACACACACGCGCGCATATATATACACACACACACGCACGTTATTTTAAACTAAGCAGTTAATTCTGAAAGGTATTGCAAACAACAACAACTAAGGCACAAACATCATTTGGTCTGACAAAAAAACATTTCCAAAGACAAGATAGAAATCTACTGATTTCTACAGGGAAGCTAATGCATTTTTAATGCAATTTCAAAAAAGTACAGCATACACAATGTACATTAATCCTTGGCCTTTAAGGAAGGCATATAAGAAATGTATGAAGACCTCTAATCTGTATCTTTAGATAGCACTGGCTTAAAATTAAACAGACAAATTAAGCGCACGTTTCTCTCAGCTGGATGGTTTGCTTACCTCTGGGGGGGGATATAAGGAGCAGATACTGTTGGCATAACTGTACAGGGTTCAACCACTGTTTTCTTGGCCTTTTTTGTCTTTTTTCTGACTTTTGATGTAGACCTAGCAGTTCTGACTGATCCCTCCTTTCTACAAACACCGTTTTTGATTTCAGCTTCTCCATAAATATTTAGAGGTCTCCGTATGCAACCTGGTGGAGTATGTACATCACAATATGCAGTCTTTTTCACAGAGAACGTTGTCCCACTGCCAGTTAGTTCTTTCACAGGTTCCATTTTCATATATAGGCCAGCTTTTTGAGCACACGTCACATGGAATGCAGTATAGCAATTTGCTTTGTGGCACTGGATGCAGGCACCAACACCTTTCTGTTTACAGAGGTAGCATGTTAACTTCCATCTGGCGGGGGGAATGTTCCTGACACCATCAATTGGCTCAATAAAAACTGTATTGGCAAATCCAACTTCTGGAATCCACAAAGCACACACAACATGTCCCCATCGATCATCATCAGTCTTTTTAAAGGCACCTCCCTTGTTTGGGCACAGCACACAGTCTACAGGCCGAGAACGGGATTGCAGACAGTGTCTGCAGAGCCACTGGCCCTCAGGTATATATGGCACCCCATAGCATTCCTGATGTACTGCTAAATTACACATATCACAAAATAGGATTACATTGCTGTTCTGACATTCACCATCCATGCATATACAACACACTGCATCTTCATCAATTAAAGACTGATGATCACCCTGTTTTTGGTTCTCACAATAAGACTCTTTTTCAAACCTATCCATAAGGAATTCAAACATATTTTGTGACACAACTGACACTCCATCACTTTTCCGCTTCTCATTTATTATTTCTAACCATGCATAATCTTCTTCATCCATGTCATACTCAACTTCATTATCAAGTTCTTCTGCTGATTTTTCAATGAATTTATAATAAACTGGAGGTCGCCGAGGAGCAGAAGGTGGACTGTATTCAACAATCCGTACTTTTGGTTCTGGAAGTGGAGCTGCTGTAGCGGGTATACCATGTGAGCTTGGAAGAACTTCATTTTTCTTTTTCACTTTGTTATTTTTATGCCGTTTGCTTCTTAGACAAACTGGTGGTCTTTCACTATTTTCTTTATTGCTGTTGCATTCACTCATTTCCTGGGCTGTAAGATCATCTTCTAATATAATCTCTAACGGATCAAAGATACTGATCCTATGCAGGCGACCTTCAATTTCTATTTCAACCATTCTTTGAGCTTGAGCGTACGTCAAGGTTTCTCGTGTGGGGGAGTGCTTAATACTGCATGGGGAAGAAGAATGCCTTGCTGCCGATACTCGATGACATCTTCCTTTTCTCCTCATTTGGTAATGTTTACCTACAATAAGAGCAACAGTTAGTACAATGAACTACAAACATTTACATTAAAATATTAGCTTTATTTTAGTAGGAAAAAACCCTTAAAAGTTGTATAACCCCCAAACTATCTAACCAATTTCCGAGAGATCAGTTAACCTGTCACCTTTACTGAACAGGACTGCTCAGGCTGTTTTGAAAAATTTTACCTAACGACAGAAAGTAAGATCTCCTAAATATTAGCTTCTTACATAAGTACCACTGTACAGAATTCATATTATAAAATAAGTGCTACATACACACTAACTGTAGCAATTCTGTAACAGAGAGAAAACATTTCATAAGTGCCACCAAAAAATACAGTTTTGATATACTGTAAGAAAACGTCTCTATAATACAAAACTTCCAATTCATAAAGAGTGTCTGTAGTTTCAAATTTGTTCAACATCAACAGGTTTTCTTCATCTCTCCCTAGTTTCTCTAAGTGTTATATTTAAGAATCACCTCGTTGTCATTACTAGAGAGTTACTAGCATCAATGTAATTTTACTGTTTTAAGTGGGCCCACATTAGGAGGACGACCCTTATTCAGTGTTAAGACTTTAAACTCCAGTGAGATGCACCAAAGAACAAGAACACAATCTGACTTGCAAAACACTGAAGCATGGACCACAATTATGAAACATTCAACTCGTAAAGTAGATTTGACCTAGAACATACTGAAAAATTCACTGTGCTTGTGTGTGTGTGTAAACATACATATAAACACCCTTATCTTTCAACCAATTCTTCAGGATTTGTTCTCAGAGCAATTGGGGTAGATAACAATCTCACTCTCTTTAAATCCAAACCCAAGGCTTCTTCTAAAATAAAATAACATCATTTTCAAGTTGCTTTTCAGAACAACATTTTCAAAATGTTTTTCTTTTCTGGGGGTTGAAAATAAGACAAGACAAGAAAGATGAAAGATAAGAAAATAAGACAAAAGACAAATTAATCAAGTCAAGCTAATAAGTTCGTTCTCTATTCCCCTCGCTTTTCTTCCTAATAAATTCCTAATAAATAAACAGCAAGCATAGCTGTCAGCTACAGAAAAGAAATACTCCTGATGTTTAACCGTTTGCTCAAAGTATTAGGGCCTCACCATTCCAATTCTGATCAAGTTAGAAATTCTGCAATTCAAGTCAATGCTATTTAGTAGCCAAGATAATTCAACTAGCGTTAGCATACAACAAATAGACAAATACAGAGACCAAAATACAATTACAGTGAAAGAGAACCATAGCTAACACATGTAGAAAATCGGAAAGACTGGAACAATTAATACATCAATTATCCACAGCCTGCATTTGCTTTTGTTCAGTCTATGATGTCAATCTCCCTGAAAGTGTACCTTCACAATTCTGCAGGAACTCCATTAAAGATGACCAGATATTTTAAGTAGCTACCTTAGATCAGACCCTCTGAAGAGCTAGTTTTATCTGCTTGCACAGATTGATCTTGTTTTCCCAAAGAGAAGTGAAGAGAAAAAAAAAAAAAAAACTAAGTTTTATTATCCATGCAAGTGTTACTTACAGATCTCGCTTTTAGATGGATATTCCTTAAATCTTATTATATGTTTCATAGGCTAAACACAGACACAAAAAAGGACACTCAGTGTTCAATCATTACAGGCCTCTCACCGGCTCTCTATAAACAGATGAACAGAAAAGATCACCTCTCTTCATATAAGTTTGGGTGAAATACTTAACTGAATTCTACAAGATACGAGTTAAGCACACCAATTTCTTACCGACTGAAGAAGTTTAAACCACTAATAGTGGTATAAAAGGTCCAATAACTAGAAATAAAGATACACCGATAATTTATCTGGAATTAAAGTTCCCATATCAGAATTTGTAATTCAGGGGCCAAAGATAACACATTTGCTCTGATTTCTGTTTATTAACATACACACCTAGCAACATTAGGGATTATTCAAATAAAAAACATATATGTGCTGATGTACAGCAACCTGCTACTGACTAGTACGGTGTCACTTTATATTGTTGATTTTTTTGATACTTGTCTTTCATTTAATCAACAAGCAAGAAAAAAAAATCATTAAAAAAGTTTCCCTCTTAAAAATCTAGACGAACTTAATGTCTCTTCCTACAACTACTAAACATGCGCAACCACCCACACTATTCATCATGACAGTGACTGTTTTGACAAATTAATGGGGTAGGGATGAGAGAGGTAGCCTTCAGAAATCAGAAAATAGGCTTCTTGTCCACACTTACCCATGTAACTTAACCCAGTATCATAGAAAAAAATCCATTAATGTTAGATTTCCAACCTCTTACCGTTCCCCTGCCAAAATTCTTACGCAACCCGGCAACAGGAACAGGAAAAAATATTTTAAAGCACAAGTTCTTGCGCTGGGACTTATAACTGCTGTCATAAATGTCAAATAAAAGAAATTGTATGAACCTGAAAGATAAAAACGATTGGACTAGCATCTAAGCACCTTTTCTGTAATATTCACCTGTAAATAAAACTAAACTAGAAAACAAATTACAACCACAGTTACATGGAAAATGTATACCCTACAAATATAATGAAATGAACACAGAATTGGAATTGGTGCTCCTCTGGCCTAATTTTCTAGAAACTCAGTGCGAGTAACTTAAACGCTCTGGGAGTTAAAGAAGTATTTTGTGTTTTGTGTTTTTATTTTTTTTAAAAACTCCTATTTACAAACTTCCTAAAAATATTCCAGAGGAAGACCAGGTTTCTGCATAATGAATCTACAGCTGGCAAACTGCTTTGCTTTTCCGAGTTACTTATCACAGGCACCTTTCTTCCCTCCCCTCAGTAGTAAGCTGCAGATCCACAGGAATGAAGACCACGTGCACAGGTTTGAAAACCAGTAAAGTCAGATAACAGTTTCTGTTCAGCATTAATAGCGATATCACACTGATGGGAAAATACAAATAACGTATTTCTGCTAGCACTCTTCTGCCTCTTATAACAACTCAAAGGCTGTAGGAGATAAAAATGGAAAGTTATCCATAGCTTTCCTCTCCTGGAATTACATCAGCTGCTTGGGAAAAAAAGTCATCGGCAGACACTTTCCCTCACAACAAAAGTGCACGAAGACAGCTGGTTATGTGGAATGCGCAGTATGAGGCAAAAGTAGTTTTTACTGAGGTGTAGGATAGCTAAAACCAACAGAAAAGTATAACACCACACGCTTTCTGATTACGAATCCCTTTGCAGTCTCTCTCCTAGTTACCCTCCTCCACTCCAAACAATCGCCTTTGGTGCCTGGATCCCCTGTCCCGTGGAAAAGAGAATGCCATTCTCAATGGATACTTTCATGCAGACCATTAAGAAGAGAAAGACACAGGAATGCTCCTTAGTCCTAGACAATGAGGGTAAGCAAACACTGCTTGCATGCACACAGGGAAGACACCACCCTCAGTTTCAGCTGCGGAGCAGGACCATTTCCCTCAGGGGAATGCGGAGAATTAGCGCTCACGTAACCCGCCCGATCGGCCCGGCGTAGGCTACGCCACTTGGCATCACCACAGCCGCTCTTTCCCCTGAGCGTGAGGGGTGCGGGAAGGAGG